CACCTCAGTGGCTTTCCCCTCAGAGCCAGTTCAGACCTTCTGGGCACAAACATTGACCCAAACAGCTTGGGAGCTTTAGCAGGGAAGGTCGGAAGTGAGGCAATGCCCCCAGCACTGTGGCCCTGCTGGAGCTGCAGTTGGCGGGGGCTGGGTTACTTGCTCTGCTCTGTAGCTCAGAAATGGCACTGGAGGATGACAATACGGTGCGTTCCACACCCCGAGCTGCAGGCACTGCTCCTCAGCCAAACCAACATGGTTCCTTAGCATTTACTTCTCCAGCACACAAGCTCCAGGGCAGGGCCGGTTATTCCTCAAGGGGGAGCCCATGTTCTCTTCTTGTCCCCCCCATAACTATTCCTCAACCCCGACTCCTTAAGGGATGTTGTTGGTCAATTTCCAGCTCTGTTACAACAGGACCTGCCATTCATCAGAGCAGACTTAACTCCTTGTGGGCATGGGGCTGGTGGATGAGACTAGGCCAGGAGACCTTCCCCTCACAAATGGCTCTCAGCTGGAGTGGCACTCACACCAAACTTTCTCGTGGGCACAGCAAGTCTTCCTCCCTCACTCACAGGGCCCAATGCTGCTCATTGAAGTCTGGCTCAGCCCTGCCTCCCCCTGGAGGGGCCTGAGCCAAATGCCTGTGCATGCTGGGACTGGGCCTACAGGGTTTTCAATGCTGAACACTGGTTGGATACTTGAGTACGTGCTTTGAAACAGTTATCTAGCCTCTGCACAGTTAGTAAGACCACAGGACTGATTTATTTCAAGTAGAATCCCCTTTATTGGCATCAATGTATTAATGACCCCAGCTGTCTCTAGATTACATTGGACAGTCCCATATGGGAAAGGGCTGGCTCCATGGTGTTAGTTCTTTATGGTTCACAGAGCATGATTCATGCAGCATGGTTCAAGAAAGACTGAAAACCCATCTCAGACTGAGTATCCCTCCCTCTACCCAGGGAACCTGAGCTGCCAGCTCCTCCCAACTGTGCATTGGATCTGTCTGCAAGGCAGGGGCTTGGAGAGGCCATGCACAGGACCCCAAGGAGTCAGGGTTAGTGCTGGGAAAGGGTTCTATGTTATGTATGTAGAGAGGGAGATGAACAGGTCTTGCTGCTACAGCCTCAGTCCTTCTACATGGCAGCTTCCCTGCTTGGCCCCTCCCGTGCCTGACAGTATTTAGATGGGAACTTAAAGCAAGAGAGCAGCTCAGGGTGAGAAGCACAGAGGGTCCCATTAGTCATATGGATTCACAGCACCAACATGGGCACAGTTGGAGAACCACATGCATGCTGAGACCCGAATGCTGGCTCCAGCACTGGCCTCACAAGGACTGATGACAACCCCAGCAGCTAGAGTAGGGAATCTGACCACACTGCCAGCAAGGGGAGTCCTGCATAGGGAAGGCTGGGTCTTTCCAGGTGGGTCACACTAAAAAGTCCATATCCACCTATGGATCTGTGCCCAGGGGATGTGGCCACATTTTTTGGCCCCATATCTGCTCTTGACATCACCAGATCTTACCCTTTGAAAGTCTCATGCTCAGGCCCAGTAGGCAAGTGATCAGAGAATAGATTTACACTCCCACCCTTTGCGCTGACCATAATGATGCACAGCCCCACCCTAAGATTTGAAATGGATCCTGGCTAGTAGTTCTCTAGGAATGAGCTTAGGTTCCCTCCTCTTCTCCTTCCCCTGGGTAGGGAAGAAGCCTGGGTAGTGGTGTCTGTAGCAGGTACCTGGCATTAGCTCCCAGACATTCCGCAGTGCGGTGCAGGGATGGCATTACTGAGGGCAACACAGAAGGAGCTCATTGGACAGACCCTGCCCTCCTCTCAGCCAGAAATGAAGTCCTCTCTCCCCCAACAATAAACCCTCAGCAGGCTAGTAAATGAAGCAGCTCCTGGCCAAAACCCCCACAATCCCCCGGTGTCACAATTCAGTCTTCACTTTGTGCATCAAGTCCTTCTGGTCAATCTTCTCCAAGTCCTGGTACCACCGGTTGTATGCCAAGAGTGCCACATTCTTGGCTGCCATGGCAACCATTTCCATGGAACTGGCCACCCATTCCACACCATTGAGGTAGAAGAGGTTGTCATGGAGGATGATGGGTGGGAGGCTCTTGGAGGAGTCGTAGTGGGGGTAAGCCTCCCACTCCATCACCTGGACTGAATAGTAGGAGCGGAAGAGGGTCTTCAGCTGTTGCTTGTCCAGGGGCTGCTGGGAAAGGACGCGCCAGACAGCAGCCTCCTGGGGTTGCTTGCGCCGGAAGGTGCCTGAGATGTTGACGGGGCAAATGTTGTCCAGGGCGTTGAAGAAGAGGTCAGGGGAATCAGTGGTGAGGATGCTGGCAAAGGGGAAGAGTTTGGGGTCAGGGAAGCCAAAGTAAGAGGAGTTGAGGTAGCCATGGACAACAGAGCTGATGGTGGGGTGGAAGGAGCCTGGGAAGTCAGTGATGGGCGGGTCAAAGTTCTCAAAGGTGATGTTGCTCCTGTCGAAATGCAGCGGCGTAGCAATGACCACCATGTCGTAGAAGGCTGAGCCTTGGTCCTCGTCATCCTCATAGCGCACCTGGTACAGGGCTTTGCCGTCTGCAAAATGGACAGGACAGAGACTCACAACAAGTATCAGCCCAGAGCACAGTTCACCACCACTGGATTTGGGGCTCAGAAAGGCTGAGTACTGAGAAAATAAGCCACGGCCAAGCAAAGCCTTGGGCATGGTCTCCCCTTCATCCTGACCTGCACCCCAACTCAGCTCTGCCAATGCGCCTTAGTGTTGACCTGCAACCCTTTCCCCCAGACTCTACTGTATCTCACTACTGGACATTCCAGAACTGGGGAGTCACCTGGCAGACCACAGAGCAGTTGGGCAACCCTGGGTCACTGAGCAAAGGGGACAAACTGTAGGGGACAAATCTCCCTCCCCAGGACAGACCGGAGAAAAATTGGCTGCCACCAAGATGCCAGAGATCTCCCCAATATCTCAGCACAGAAGGGTCACAAGGCAGTGACCCTTTTTAGGGGCTTTGGAGCCACTTGCTGGCCTCACTGCACCCTCTGGTGTGCAAGCTCTGCACTGCAGCCTCCCATACCACAGATTGGCCCAGCCATAGCCAGCTTGGCCTAGTTTAGAAAAAAATGATGACAGGAGAAAGACACCAATGAAGCAGGAGGCAGTGTAAAAACCTGTGTGGGAGTCAGCGTGGAGGCCAGTCCAATTGTGATGGGGCAGACCAGCCAACTTGTATATGATGTATAACACCTTAACAAAAGCTATTTCAACCGTATGTGAACTTCAAAGAGATGCACTAGATCAGCAATCACCAACCATTCATTCGTAGTAATGGAAATCAAAGGTAACCGTATTTGTCTGAATACCCAAGTCCCATCAGAAGTTTAACTTTGTAACCAAATTAGCTTGTAGATGCTAAATCCCTTTCATGTCTTAATCAGCTTATATTATGTGTGCAACCATGGTCAGTTAACCATAATATCAAAGATGTGAGATGCTGCAGGAAACTAGTAATATTATTTATGCTGTCTTCAGCTTTTTGCCTCTGTAATAATGAATGGCCAGCTGCTGTCTTATAGCATAATTAGATTATCTGTGGAAATAGAAGAATTACTTCAAAGCAGTGGTAGAAATGTAGCCGTGTTAGTCTGGTGCAGCTGAAACAAAAAAACGGACTGTGTAGCACAGTGGTCCCCAACGTGGTACCCGCAGGCGCCATGGCACCCGCCGGCGCCCACCGACAACCTGGGCCGGCCCTGCCCCCGGCGCACGGGAGGCGCCGGCGCTGGGTGCGTGGCGCTCGGGCGGCCTCAGCCCCGGGGCACCTTCCTCCCCTTCCCCCCCGCCCCTCTATCCCCCTTCTGTTCTGAAATTTGATTTGTCCTTTTCATATGTGTTCCTTTTTTTTAATTGTATCCTTTGGTATATATGGTTGTGACAATTTTCTTCCACTATTTGATCTGAGGAAGTGGGTCTGGCCCTATTAAACCATCTTGTTAGTCTTTAAAGTGCTACACAGTCCTGTTTTTTGTTTCACAGCAGTGGTCCACAAAATACCTGCATCGCCTATTCTTCCTCAGAGGAAAGCCTTGCTGTGACAATTTCTGGAGGAGGCCTTTTGGCTTGCTAGAGAGCTAAAAATGGAAACCTTGGGCTGATACTTTCATCACTAGCCTTTGAAAGTTTGAACTGAGAAAGTTTAAGCTGTGGGACTGAGATCTTTCAAATTGTTTTTTGGAATACCCTAGAAAGTGCATGGAGAGACAATCAGACTTTACATCTAAACTGCACTTAGATTCTAACCTTTTGGGAATGATTCTAGAAAGACTTTTGCAGGGCAGCAGATCACTATTACACTGATCTATGAACACTGAAAATCACTTGTATGTACATGATTCCTTAGCCATTCAATCATGCTCTTTTCTTTTATTTATAAGTCTTCAGTTAGTTTATTAAGGATTGGTGGACAGCATATTTCAATAAGATCTGAGAAACATACTGACCTGAGGGTAAATGTCTCATCCTTCAGGACTGGTAGAATCTCACATATGGGGAGCTGGATATCCAGGAACCCCTCGTGATATTAGACTTGCTTGTCTAGCAGGAAGCCAAAGGCTGGACTGCCTAAGGGAGACTGTTTGCTTTCTGACTAACCAGTGGGGTAGTGCAGAGGCTCTTTTGTTATTTTGGTGAAGCTAATTCTAGAACAATCCACCAGTTTTGATGACTGCCTGCCCTGCATGTGTCACACTCACATCTCAGCCACACCGATTCTTTGCGATACCACAACAGCCCAGGAAGAAGGCTGCCGCGAAAGCTAGCAGGAGCAAATGGGCAGAGTAGGGTGAATTGGCAAAGGCGGGGGGCTGGAAGCAGACAGGGCAGAAGGGAATCTAAGGCCTCTCGGCTCTCCTCATCCTGCTATCAGACCTGCTATTCTCTGAGCATTTCTGCTCCCCGCTCCCCCTGTTGCTCTGTTCATGCTTCTCAACCCAGAAGCAAGAGAGGACAGCACTAATGCTAGAGACACTCTGTCCCAAAGGCCCCTAGACCTACAGTCTCGGACCCTACCCCACAGGCTGACACATGATCCCCCAGTGTCACGCCCCAATCCCAGGAGGCCCAGCTGGCTCACTTGAGCTCTGCAGAGAGACGCCTGTCACCCTGGCCTGGACAACGTTGGCTTTTGTCAGCTTTAGCAAACCCGAACACACCAGCTTGTTGCCGCCTTCCACAGCCCACGTGTTGCCCTGAGCCCCTGCCAGTGACATGGCCCCTGGGAAAAGGAACAGAGGATTAAACTCATTCACAGTAAGGACAGCACATTCCCCCAGGGTGCTGCTCCCAGGGGAGATTAGGGATGTTAGCTTATAGTAGTTTACACGATTCGGTTAATCCTAACGACTACACACACTTGTGGGGGGGGAACAAGCAGGAGTTGGTGCTTGGAGAGGCTGGCTTTTAAGCACCTTATAGAGAGGCAGCAGCATGGGGGGGGGGTAAGGATGTTAAGTGGTGGGTAACTGACTCATCATGTACTCAATACAGTTTGTATCGACTAACAATGAGTCGATAAGGGAAGGCGCTCTGTACTAGGGATGCAATAGTGTAGTCGATTAACCAATTAACCGATAAGCAAAAGCTTATAGGTTAATGCTATAGACTACACACATTTCCCCCCCACACCTTGCCAGTACATTTTTTTAGCAGGCTGGCCAGCTGCCTAGCTCAGCCCGGCTTGCACTGGGTCCTGGACCTACCCCCACTGTGGCTCTGCATTTAAAATATATTAGGAGCCAGGCGGGTAGGCACCTGGGCTCAGTTCCAGCTTGAGCTCAGACCTTCCCCCTGTATAAGGGCTTCCCGGAGACTACAGGAAAGTCGACTAACTGATAAGAATTCATGAAGTTAATCAACTACTCAATTAACTGATATTTAACATCCCTACTCTGTACCGGCTCACATCGGTCCAGGAACTACCTTCGCTGTGTCTCTGTAGTTACATGTAATAGGAGCCAGGTGTGCAGGCAGTAAGGATCTTGCTACATTTAAAATGCAGAGCTGCAGCCGTCCCGGACCAGCGTGAGCTGAGACTGACACAGGTTTGCTCAGTCTTGGCTTGTGCTGGGTCCAGCAGCAGCCCTTGTTCATGGTGGCCTGGGTTGGCTGCAGGCAGAGACTGCTTCACAGCAGCGGACCAGCGTGAGCTGAGACTGACACAGGTTTGCTCAGTCTTGGCTTGTGCTGGGTCCAGCAGCAGCCCTTGTTCATGGTGGCCTGGGTTGGCTGCAGGCAGAGACTGCTTCACAGCAGCCTTCCCTACCCCCACCCTGCCTCTGACACCGGGGGGGGCGGGGGGAGGAGGGGGACACAGCACCATTGAGACAGTGCTGGGGAGCTTATGTTGTCTCTCCCCAGCACCGGGTCCTGTTCCCCACCCCCTTGCTGCCTCAGAGGCAGCAAGTGTGTGCGTGGGTGGGGGGAAAGCGAGTCATCCACTCAAATACCTGACAAGCTTAGGCTTATTTGGTAGTTGACTATTCATTTAGATCCCTAGGGGGCTGAGAGTGAGCACCTGCTCCCACCTCTCTCTCCCCCAGCATGTAAACATGTAACTGCTAAAAATCCAGCAGTTACACGTTTATACAAACACATAAGAACAGCCATATTGGGGCAGACCAACGGTCCATCCAGCCCAGTATCCTGACTGCCGACAGTGGCCAATACCAGATGCCCCAGAAGGAGGGAACACAACAAGTAATACTCACATGATCCATCTCCTGTCATCCATTTCCAGACAAACTGAGGCTAGGGACACCATTCCTACCCATGCTGGCTAATAGCCATTTATGGACCTAACCTCCGTGAATCTATCTAGCTCCTTTTTGAACCCTATTTAAGGTCCAGCCTTCACAACATCCTCTGGCAAGGAGTTCTATAGGTTGACTACGTGCTGCATAAAGAAAAACTTCCTTTTGTTTGTTTTAAACCTCCTATTAATTTCATTTGATGACCCCTACTTCTTATATTGTGGGAATATGTAAATAACTTTTCCTTATTCACTTTTCCCACAAAAGTCATGATTTTATAGGCCTCTATCATATCCCCCTTAGTCTCCTCTTTTCTAAGCTGAAAAGTTCCAGTCTTTTTAATCTCTCTTCATATGGGATGCATTCCAAACCCCTAATAATTTTGTTGCCCTTTTCTGAACCTTTTTCAGTGCCAATATATCTTTTTTTTTGTGATGAGGTAACCATATCTGTATGCAGTATTCAAGATGTGGGCATACCAGGGATCTATATAGAGGCAATAAGATATTATCTTTCTTATTCTCTATACCTTTTTTAATGATTCCTAAGATTCAGTTTGATTTTTTGACTGCCGCTGCACACTGAGTGGATGTTTTCAGAGAACTGTCCACAATGTCTCCAAGATCTCTCTCTCAAGTAGTTGTAACTAAATTAGTCCCCATCATATTGTATGTATAGTGGGGATTATTTTTTCCAATGTGCATTACTTTGCATTTATCAACATTAAATTTCATTTGCCATTTTGTTGCCCAATCACTTAGTCTGAGATCTTTTGAAGCTCTTCACAGTCTGCTTTGGTCTTAACTATCTTGAGCAGTTTGGTTAATATTTGTTAGTTAACATCCCTAGGGGAGATGCATGCTTCTTTTCGGCCAGTGACAGAGCACCCTCGGGCCCACAGAGCAGCTCTGGCTCCAAGGAGGCCGCTGTGGCCCGTGCCGGACAGACCATGAAGGCAGCACTGGCACAGCCAGCTGGGCCTCACCTGCGAAGGCAGGCATGAGCACTGACTGGCCATAGCTGGAGCGCAGGACGGCTGCAATGACGTCATCGATGAAGCGCTGTGTGACGCCCACCTCCAGCAGGGACTCGGCCACAGAGCGCTGCGTCATGTTGACGAAGGTCTCACTGCCCAGCGAGCGCAGGAGCTCCTCCAGGCTGGAGAAGGCATAGCCGTGTGCCTGGTACTTGTAGATCCTGCAGGAGACAAGCAAAAATGTCAGGAGCAACACCCCCGCCCTCATACTGGCCCATCTACGGAGCCTACCCATTGACGTGCCCTCTCTCCTAGCTTGGCCACCGGGTGGCAGAGTCTCCTGGGAGATCAGGCATAGTACCCAGCCTGGGGCCAAAAGGGGAAGGCCATTCCCACTCCTCCTCCTTCCCTTCCAGAAACACCGATTCTGCCAAGCTGCCCCGTACCTCATGAATTTCTCCATCACCTCCTCCACCCACATCTGCAGGCGCAGGAAGCTGATGCCGTAGTGCCACCAGAGCCGGAAGAGGCTAGCTCCTCCCCACTGAAGATGGCACTCTTCCCTGCTACCTCTCTTCGGGGCTTCAGGCCTGCAGAGTGTGACAGAGAAAAGCAATTTCACCCTCCTCTCTGCAGTCAGCAATTCAGGAGGAAAGGAAGAGCACATGATAACAAGCATTTGCTACACATGGATACTGCTGATGGGCCTGAATGCTGGCAAGCAGCTGAACTAGCTCCTCCCCACTGAAGATGGCACTCTTCCCTGCTACCTCTCTTCGGGGCTTCAGGCCTGCAGAGTGTGACAGAGAAAAGCAATTTCACCCTCCTCTCTGCAGTCAGCAATTCAGGAGGAAAGGAAGAGCACATGATAACAAGCATTTGCTACACATGGATACTGCTGATGGGCCTGAATGCTGGCAAGCAGCTGAAGATCCCTGTACATGGAGTGGGGATGGGTGAATTGTCAGAAGGTAGATCCATGAGCCAAACCAAACCCAACGTCCAAACATCTAAAAAATCTAAGAACTGGAAATCTGGATAGGCCTCAACTCTAATTACATGCAGTGTGAAATTCTGGGAGTTCTTTAGAATCCAGGCACCTTGGACAGACAGGATGTGTTAGAGCAGGGGTTGGCAATCATTTCTGATGGGGGGGAGGGGGCACTCCAAGAACTTTGAAAGTGTTTGAGGGCCGCACTCTTCCATGATATTAATGGGGGGGTGCAGGGTCTGGGATGGAGGTTGGGTGCAGAAGGGAGCTTGGGGTAAGGGATGGAGTTTGGGTGAAGGAGGCAGTTGCGACCTGGAGCACTGGACTGGAGTGCAGGGGGTTGAATTGTGACCTAGGGCAGGGAAATGGGGTACAGGAAGGGGCGGAGGGGATTTGATGGTGAGCTAGGGCAAGAGGGGACTGTGATTTGGGGCAGAGGATTGGGGTGCCAGATCTGGGAGGGGGTATAGGTGCATGAGGGGGGCAGAGGATTTGGGTATGTGGAGCAGGAGGGCAGAAGTGGGGGGCAGAGGGTTGGGGAAGGGAGGGGCTGGGATGCCAGAGGCAGCCTCTGCCCAGGAGATTTACCAGCTAGTCTCTGCAAGCCCCGCCTCCACCAGGCTTCAGCCATGTGCTCTGTGAATAACCCTTTGTGCTTCGTGGTTGCCTGTTATTGAAACAGGCAACTCCCATTGGCCAATTTCTGACCAGAAGCCAGCCAATGGGATTGTGCTGGGGGTGGGAGCAACTCCTAAAGCTTCTCCCCAACTCCTCTGGGCTCAGTTTTTAAAGTGGAACCACCCCATGGCCACGTTTCTGAGTTGTGTGCAGGTGGGGTTAGGCAAGCAGGGAGCCTGCCTGGGCTGGATCCAGTGGCTTGGTGGGCTGCATCTGGCCTGTGGGTCATATTTTGCCCAGGCCTGCGTTAGAAGGATGTCACAAATTAGAGGTACGCGCTGCTGCTTCCAGGTTGGCTGCACAGAAAACAAATCACAACTCCAAGACACAGTGACAGAATCTCTTGCTCCTCAGTTATGGAATCCTAGGGGTGGAAGAGACCTCAGGAGTCATCGAGCCCAACTGCTTGCTAAAAGCAGGACCAATCCCAATTAAATCATCCCAGCCAGGGCTTTGTCTAGCTGGGTCTTAAAAAACCGGTAGGGATGGAGATTCCACCACCTCTCTAGGTAACCCATTCCAGTGCTTCACCACCTCCTAGTGAAATAGTTTTCCTAATACTGTATACAATCTCCCACACTGCAACTTCAGACCACTGCTCTCTCGTTCTGTCATCGGTCACCACTGAGAACAGCCTCTCTCCACTCTCTTTGGAACCCCCCCTCCTTTGGAAGGTGAAGGCTGCCATCAAATCCCCCCTCACTTTTCCCTTCTGTAGACTAAATAAACCTAAATCCCTCAGCCTCTCTTCATAAGTCATGTGCTTCAGCCCCCAATCATTTTTGTTGCCCTTTGTTGGACTCTCTCCAATGTATCCACATTTTTTCTGTTATGGGAGGGAACGGTAGCTTTCTGTACCGAGGTGTGTGAGAGGACAGAAGTAGACACAACACTCCAGATGTGGCCTCACCTGCGTCCAATAAAGGGGAATTATCACTTCCCTAGATCTGCCAGCAATGCTCCTACTAATGCATCTCAATATGCCATTAGCCTTCTTGGCCACAAGGGTTCACTGGTGACTTATATCCAGCTTCTCATCCATGGTAACCCCCAGGTCTTTTTCTGCAGAACTGCTGTTTAGCCAGTCAGTCCCCAGCCTGTAACAATGCTTGGGATTCTTATGTTCCAAGTGCAGGACTCTGCACTTGTCTTTGTTGAACCTCATCGGATTTCTTTTGGCCCAATCCTCCAGTTTGTCTAGGTAACTCTGGACCCTACCCCTGCCCTCCAGCATATCTACTTCTTCCCCTACTTTAGTGTCATCCGCAAACTTGCTGAGGGTGCAATCCATCTCCTCATCTAGGTCATTAACAAAGATATTGAACAAAACCCAAATACATTAACCCCAGTCACTGGCTTCTAGCAGGTTCACTTCTGCCTGCAGCCCTTGCTCCTCCAAGTCCAAGTCCCACAGTACTCCCATCATGCCCCATACTCTTGACCTGCAGCCCCTCTGCTATCTCAGTCCTGAGCAGCGTTCCCTGTAAGCTGTGCACTTGGGCAGGTTCTCAGGAGAGTCAAGTGCTGTCCAGCGGATTCAGAGAGTGCACGCAGCACTTTATTTCTAGTGGTGGTGCACATTAGCACATGCACATAAAAATATTCTGCATATGAATGGAAAAAATCCACTCCTGGATGAAAAGATTAGAGGGAACATTGATCCTGAGTCCTGTGATGTCCCTCATGATGAGGGTAGGAGAGGGCTCAAGTGTGGCAAACACAGAGGGCAGGCTGCAGGCCACTCTCCAACTCTGGAACTCCCTGGCCCTCTAGCTCAGGAGGGACACAGCTCATGCCAGGGCCCACCTACATCCTGCCTTGGGTTGAGACACCAGCCCTTATTGAAGGAAATTCAACTCATCACAGTGGATGGCACATCACCGGGAACTGGCAATTCACTCACAATTGGCCTCTAAGCAAGGTGGAGGCCGGGCCATCTGGAGGGGAGGGGGATTTGTGTCGCAACCCCCGCTCTGTAGGCTGGAGCAAAAGGTTTCTCCTGAGGAGCAGGGTCAGCAGCGAGAACCTTCTCTCCCCAGCTCCAGGGAAGGGGCAAGGATAGAAGGATTTCTGGCACCCCCTCCCGTGGGCACGAAGGGGAGGGGCAGCACTCACCCAGCAGTTTGACGAAGTCCTGCATGTGCAGGCTGAGCGAGTGGATAGACGCGCCGCCACACTCATACTGCTGCTTGTTGACGGTGATGGTGGCCAGCCGGCCCCCCTCGCTTCCCTTCTCATACACATCCAGCTGCACCTGTGGCCCAAAGTGCTGCTGCAGGAAGTAGGCCACTGCCGAACCACCTATCCCAGCACCCACTATGGCTATCAGAGGAGAGACAAGGGAAACAGGCCCCATTAGACATGATGCACATACCCACAGCTTTCCCCAGGGCCAGACCAGAGTGAAGCAATGCAGCCACAGGAGGCTGCTTCCTCAGGGAAATGCAGCATGTACAAAGCAAATCCCAATGCCTGAGCCATCCCCATGCATTGCACCAGATCAAGAGAGCATTGTGAACCGAGTGCAGGGCTGGGACCCTGCATGCAACTCTGCTCTAACACAGACACCTTGTGCTTCAGGCTCTCTGCCTGTGCACTTAGGAGAATGTCCCTACACTCAGAGGAAGGGAGGAGGCAAAAGATAAATGTTTGTGTTTGTTTGTTTGTTTGTTTAAAGTAACATGAACATCTTCCAGTCCAACCTATTCCATGAAGCTTGATGCTGTTTACACTAAGAATGTTAAGTATTGGGTAACTGACTAATCGAATAGTCTATGCATTTTGTATCGATTAGTTGATAGGGCACCTCTGTCTTTGAAGTGTAGCCAGGGGCAGATGACTGTTTTGTGGGGCCCCAGGCAGCATAACTCCGCGGGGCCCCCCCTTTGCCACGGCACATGCGTGGGGCTTTTTTAAGCGCGGGGCCCGGGGCGGCCGTCCCATTCGCCCTGCCCTATATCCGCCCCTGAGTGTAGAAACAGCCCTAGGGGCGTTGCTACATTACAAAGGTGAAAGCACAGCAGCCTTGGGGTAGTCTCTTGTTCATTTCAAAACAGAAGCGCCCTCCTGGAGCCCAGAGTAAGAGGGGGACACAGAGTCCCCCGCTGACCCTGGGCTCCATGTTGTACTGCCAATTTGAAATACCACGTGGAGCCCAGGATCAGCTGGGGAGACTCTAGCTGACCCAAGGCTCCCTGCAGCACTGCCCCTTTGAAACGCCACCTCATCATTTCAAAGGGGCAGTGCCGCACAGCTGAGCCCGAGATCAGCTATGCAGTGCTGCCCCTTTGAACACCACCTCAGCATTTCAAAGTAGTAGTGTCCACAGCTGATCCCGGGCTCAGTTGTGTAGCACTGCACTTTGAAGTACCCCTCCCCCCCCCCCCTTTGCTGCCTCTATCTGATAGAGGCAGTGAGGGTGGGGGAAGTGACTTGTCGACTATCCTGTCGACTATCCGATAAGCATTTGCTTATCAGCTAGTCGACAAGTCAACTAGTCCTTCACTTCCCTAGTGTACACTTCTGCTGCGCCATTACAGGCCAGGCCATCACAGGTCCAACAGATGGCAGAAGCTTGGCAAAGTCTAGACCAGTGGTCTCCAACCTTTTTACACCCAAGATCACTTTTTAAATGTCCGAACAGGCGAAGATCTACCGCCCCGCCCCTTCCTTAAAGCCCCGCCCTCTCTATTCTCCTCCTGTCCATCACTTGCTATCCCCAGCCCTTACTTACACACTCTGATAAACAGTTTATTTTTAAATTATGCAATGTATAAAATTAAAATCACGTCTTTATAGTTATGAAATAAATGGTCTGTTTTTTATTCATGCTATTTAAATCTAAAATGAAGCATTTATAATTACACATTTTGTGGGGACAGAGTTCTGCGGCGGGAGCAGGGAAGAGGGAACAGGGAGGGCAGAGGACAGAGTGCCAGTGGGGACAGGTTTCTGCAGCTGGGGACAGGGTGCCAGTGGGGACAGGAATAGGGACAGAGTTCTGTAGCTGGGAACAGGGGAGTGGGAACATAATTCTGTGGCTGGGGACAGGAGAGTGGGGACAGAGTTTGGGGAGTGGAGACAGAATTCTGTGGCTCGGGACAGGGGAGTGGGGACAGAGTTCGGGGAGTGGGGACAGAGTTCTGTGGCTGGGGAGTGGGGTGCCAGTGGAAGCAGAGAGTCCCCTGTATCTGCCTCCTCCCAGGATTCCCCCCCCCCCAGAGGGAAACCAGCACGTGCCTGCCCCGGGGCCGACCCCCCTGCAGCACAGGGAAGCCTCCCGCAAAGTTTATTGCAAACGGCATACTTTTCATTTCGTCACATGGATGACAAATCTAAACAGAGTTTTCACTGGAGGTAGGTAGTGGGGCTTCTCGGGGGATGGGAGGGAAATGGGGGTGGGGTGGACAGGACACCTCGCGATCGACTGGTCGAGGCCTTGCGATCGACCAGTCGATCGTGATCGACCTGTTGGTGACTACGGGTATAGAGGAAGCTTGGACTAGGTATCACAGAGCACAGGTGAGATCCTGGGATGGGCTTGAGCTGTGGCTAGCACTCCCTGGGCAGCAATTCTAATGTGCTTAGGTCCTACTGAGCCAGCAAGAAGGCTGGGGTTAAAATAAAACCAGTTGCAGTGCTGGGACGGGCCGAGGAACCTGAGTTATGGGGATAGCTCACAGAAACTCCAAAACAAGAGGCTGTGAGAGGACAGCAAGGGTCAGAAGTGTCCATTACCATCATGGGGATTCTCAGACACCAGAGAACCATCAGAACAAGTCCTTGGCAACCAGGGCTTTTCCCATCTAGAGACTAACGCAGCTAATGGACACACACAAAAACCAGCCTTGACTTGGGAAGGGAGGCAGGTGGGCCAGTCCTAATTGCCTGCCAGCACAGGGCTAGTTTTGCCCAAGGCATAGAACATGGAAAGGGCACTAAGCAAACCTGGCTCACCAGGTACATAGCACCATGGCCCCCTAAGAACAGGAAAGGACAGGATTCCGGGAGAAAGCCGGGCTACCTGGAACCCAGCACAGCCAGATGGTTTAGTCCAATGCAGAGCCTTGGCAGAATACCCGTGGGAGTGTGAAAAGAGCATGGTCATGTCAGAGCCTGTCAGACAGGTACACTATTTCTGGGAGTCCTGATAAAGAATCACTAAAAAGCTCCGATGAATACTGCTGATTCTAAATAGCAAGAATTAGAATAGCTACAAATCTTTAACTCTACTGTAGTGACCCACTTAAACAGCACCTGCAATGGGCAATCATTTCAATCGTCAAAAAAAATCTTGAAAAAGCCATTTTTATTAGCGCACACAGTATCCAGACATCTAGAAGAAATCTGCAAATTCCAACATTAACTCAAACCTCTCGTCAATCAATCATCAGCACCACTCCTCACACCCCTGTTCGCATTTTTCTCTCATACAGGTAGAACCTTTGGGTAAAGAAGAGCATAGAAACAAATGAAAGAAATCCAATTAAAAGGATGGCACCTTTTTGGAGATTAGCAATTCTTTGTTCATTTGATTTAGCAAAAGTGATATCAAAATAGGTTGTGCTTTAAAATAAAAAAAATACTAAAATATAAAAACATAAATATTTTAAAAATCAGAGTGCTAATAATTGATTTATCACAGCTGTTTCAACAGATGTTAGTGAAGCATAGAGAATTTGAGGTCGACATAGAAATGTTCATTTTACACTGTAGTGTCAGACAGGCTGCTAAACATATGAGGCTGCCACTGGGAGCCTCATGGAAAAATTCAACACAAAGGTGTCCCACTGATAAGACCTAATGAGGTCATGAGGAAAGGTGAATACCAACATAAAGGAGGGTTGTCAGAATCAAGAACCATTTCTACTGACCAACACTCCATAAAACAGCCCTACTGGGTCAGACCAGTGGTTCATCTAGCCCAGTATTCTGTCCTCTGACAGAGGCCAATGTCAGATGCTGCAGAAGGGAGTGAGCAATCTATTGAGTGATCCATCCCTTCTTGTCCAGTCCCAAGCTTAGGGCAGAGGTTTAGTGACACTTCTGCTTCCCTGATCATTTCAGCCAACAGCCATTGATGGATCAATTCTACATGAATGTATCCAGATATTTTTGGAACCTAATTATATTTTTGGCCATACCATCCCGACAATGAATTCCACAGGTTGACTGAGCAATGTGTGAAGTACTTCCCTGTTCACATTCTCCATACCATTCTTGATTTCATAGGCCTCTATCATATTGCTCCTTAGTCTCTTTTCCAAGCTGAGCAGGTTTTTTTTTTAAAATTTCTCCTCATATAGAAGCTGTTCCATACCCCTAAATCACTGTTGTTGCCCTTCTCTATGCTTTTCCCAATTCAAATATGTCTTTTTAAAAATGGGGCAGCCACAACTGCATACAGGATTCAAGATATGGGTTTATATAATGGCACTGAGATATTTTCTTATCCATTTCTAATGTTTCTTAGAATTGTTAGTTTTTGACAGCTGCTGCACATTAAGCAGATGTTTGCAAACTATCCATGATGAGACCAAGATCTATTTATAGAATGAGAATAGCTACTTCACACCAAATCATTTTGTATGTTGATGATGTTCATATGGGATGATCTTTTCAAATGTGTATTACTTTGCATGTATCATTGAATTTCAGCTGTCATTTGGCTGCCTGGTCACCCAGTTTTGAGAGATCTCTTTGTAATGCTAAATAGTCAACTTCGGATGTAACTATCTTGAATAATATGTTATGTTGTCTCTGTTCACTTTTCTTTCCCAGATCATTCTGAATGTTGTATGGCACTACTCCCATTACAGATCACTGGGGGTCCTCACTGTTTACTTCTCTCTACTGTGAAAACTGTTTATTTCTACCTTTTGTTTCCTAGCTTATCCCATGGTTCCAGATGAACACATTATCCAGACATCTACATTAAGTTCCAAGGCAAGTGGAAGTGACTAGTGTTTCTGCAACATTTTCCCTCCTTGGCCAAGTCTTCCCTTCTAACACACCTCTGTGTTGAGGTTAGGCCACCATAACGTGACTGAGAAGAAAAAGGCAAAGAGCCCAATTCCTCCTTGATATAACTCCCTGATGTGCAAGAGTTGCATCAAAGAGAAATATGACCCCCTATATTTTGCATGCAAGCATTACACAAACTATGGACGATAGCAAGGGGAACGCAATCTCCAGAGAAGACATTTAGCCTAGCCTTAGATAACCTCCATAACATGAGGAAGGAGTGTGTGTGTGCACGCACATGCATGCAAGGCAACAGGACTAAAGTTAGCCTAAGACGTATAACTCCTGCTAGGGAATATGCAAAATTGGTCTGTTAAGATTTGCTTAGTAGCATTTTGTGGGATTCAAAGGAACTCAGTGCATTTCATACACCTTAAAATCAGGAGTGGGGAACCATTTTTGGGCCAGATGGCTGATCCAAAGGGGAGGGAAAAAAAAACAAAACAATCAGGGCCACACACAAGTGAGAAAAAAAAATCCTCACTGATGTGGGCCCTGACTGAGAAGGAGAAAGATACTCCCACATTCCCCACACACCCCAGAGCCTAGTGGGGCCCAAGCTGGTAGATTCTGTGTGCTCCAGCCCCATGATGGGGCAGCAGGGGGGCTGAAGCCTCCATGGCGGGTTCCCCAATGCTGGGGCGGTAGGGGGTTCCTGAGTCTTGGGGCTTAAATTAATCCTTACAGCTATCCTATAGGGTATGCAAGTACTGTAGACATTACACAGATAAAGGAAATTAAATGGATGTTTGCCAGAACTGATTCAATATGGCGATTAAGTACTGATTTCCAGGGCTGCGATCTCAAGTACCTTCCTCAACACCCACCTCAACATCCAAAAGATCACACTCTGAGATGTGTTTCGTAAGTAAGAGTCAGTATTCTGAATCACCCCAAGGGAACTATGTGTACAGATTTTATTAAGAGGCAGTTTTGCATTAGCCCTACAAAAAGAGACACATCTGTCTTAGAAAAAACTCACTCAACTGAATACGTTCGATGTTTATGTAATGCTCCCAGGAAGTCTTAATTGTAGCTGCTAACGGGGGGAGAGTGTAATCTAGAGATCCCTCACAAAACCATGGGTGCCTTTTTTTCAGCATCGCACATCTACAAAGGAATGGGAAAGGGATACCTTCTCTGAGCTAGAACTAACACTCCCACTAGACAAAGTCTTTGGGAGCAGAGCCCAAACCCCTGCCAGACCATAGGTTTGATAGCAAATGAGAGGGCAAAAACTCCTTCCTTAGCCAGAAGCCTCCTGAAAGCACAACTGTTCATTTTCCATGCCTTTTATAGTGCATCTGATAGCACAGGGGGCCTTCTCTTCCACTATTTCTTGCACTGTTCATAAAAAAAAGGAGGGGGGTGGATTCCATGTTAGCTCCCAGATACACATTAGCTTCTAGTAAATCAGTCATGCTGGGGATGAGTTTACCTATCCTTTCAGTTTAGCTGAAGCTATCACACAAGAACTGTTCAGCAGAGATACACATGCCCCATAATCTTTCACCAGACCACACCAAACTGCCTTGAACAAAAACCTTTCAGACCAGCTTCTGATCTTGGCTAGCACTTGGATCCTAGTTTCTCTTCATTTGCTCAGAATTGTTGCTGCAACTGATTTAAAGATACTTGGAGCTTTTGCTAAGACTTCCCTCCTTCCATCTAAAAAAATGAAATAAAGCCCAAATTTGATGTCTATCCTCAGCCAGATAGAATTAGGCTCTGAATTAGGATTGGGAAAAGTAACTAATGTTAATTGTGTAGCAATTAGGTGGTGAATGACAAAATAAGAGATCATTTTCCTTTTTGGGACAGATAAAAAGTGAACCGTTTCTGGAGCTTGGAAGCTGCAGCACAAGTGATCTAGGGATAGAGATTTCCCTGCTTTCAATGTAATTTTTGTTTGAGAACAGGCCTACATCTTTGTTCATTGGCTAAGACTTGAAAATAATTTCTGCTCCTCCTTTCTGGTGTTACTTACTGTTACTTCAATAAGAAGCAGACAGGTCTGAAGTCTAGTTTGTGCAGGAGGTATGGGGAGTGTTGCTCCCCTCCCCCACCGGCTGGCTGGAACTCCTCCCCCCCCATCCTCTGACAGGCCAGCCCTGCAAGGCCCACAGCGCTTCTCCACCCTGATCTCAGCAGCAGCCCTTGTTGCTCTCCTCTTAGCTCCTTGCCCTGCTGATGTGCTGGCTCCCAGCCCCCTCTGCCCTTCCGAGCCTGGCTTGTGCTCTCCCCTCCCCAGTGCCCCTTGAACTCTTCTCAGCAGCGGCCGGCTCGGTCCCACCCCTTTGCTCTCACAGTCTCTGCTCCACTCCCCAGGGATACGGGGCGGCTCCTACCTATTTTGCCAGGCGGGGCATCCCCTGTTGCAGCTGAGGAGGGACCTGCCAGCAGCAGCCCCACAACGACAGCTGGAAGGAGCCGCATTGCCCAGCGCAGCGGCTGCCGCTCAGCCATCACGGACGAAGGGCGGCGAGCAGGCGGCTGCAGCAGGAGAGCACAGAGCCCCGCATGCGCTCAGACCATCGCCCCTCCCGGCCGGGCAAAGGGGCAGCAGACCGGGCCCCGCCCCCCCAGCGGGCCGCTCGGCTTGCAGCCCCTCCTTTGTGCTGCAGCTCCCGTGGTGCACTAGCTCCCGAGCGTGCGGAGGGGCCTGCTTAAAGGGGCCGTGCCCAGTGCAAACGCACTGGCCGGCCTGCCGGGGGAGCGCGCTCCGCCTCGCTCGGTGCAGCGTGCGGAGGGGCCTGCTTAAAGGGGCCGTGCCCAGTGCAAACGCCCTGGCCGGCCTGCCGGGGGAGAGCGCTCCGGCTCGCTCGGTGCAGGGCGGGTGCGTGCATCTCCCCGGCTCGCTGCAGCAGTCAATGGGGAAGGACCGACAGGGCCCTAGCGACGTAGAACAGCTGCCGGTGAGAGAAATTCAGCGCGGCCGTCGGCGCCTTCCCATGTTTTCTTCGTCTATCAAGTGCTACCAGACCATTTGTTGTTTTTAGGAATTGACGGGAGGCCGATGCTCCGGGCCGGGATTCCAGCCCCAGTCCCGCCAGCTCGGACGAGACCTGTGGCCTTCACCCCAGCCTGCGCTGCTCAGGGGCCAGAACAGCTGCCGGTGAGAGAAATTCAGCGCGGCCGTCGGCGCCTTCCCATGTTTTCTTCGTCTATCAAGTGCTACCAGACCATTTGTTGTTTTTAGGAATTGACGGGAGGCCGATGCTCCGGGCCGGGATTCCAGCCCCAGTCCCGCCAGCTCGGACGAGACCTGTGGCCTTCACCCCAGCCTGCGCTGCTCAGGGGCCATTGCAGTGCCGCAAATTACCAGAGGAGCCTGCCTGAGCCCCTTACAGCCAGATTCTGCCGCGAGAGCGGACAGCCAGCCGAGCCCACGCAGCGCTCCACGGCATTCAGCGGGCTCCTTGACGCTGCTGGCCCCGGGCTACCCAGCCGCGCTCAGTTAAAAGATCAGGAAACCTTCTGTTCTGCACTGAGGTCCCTTCCCCGGCGCACATGGTGTCACACGCGCCCCCCGTCGGCTCGCAGCCAGGGCAGGTGAACATTTCAAATACAAGTTTCCATCAGAATTGAGGAGAAGGAAGGAAAAGGGAATGGGGTCCTATGGCAACACAGCCTCAGTCCCGGACTTGGCCCGATGCTCTTGGGCCGAAATTCTAGTTGTCCAAATCCACAGTGCACCCCCCACCATGTAGGCCCCTAGTAGTTAACTTATAGCCGTCCCTTTACCTGACCCCTGCTGACCCAGCAGTGTGGGATGATCCCCTAGCCTATACGGATACATGTAGTGAATGGCTTGGGGTGGAGTGCTCAGGCTGAATCTAGGCCTGCAGCTTTAGAGTAAAAATGAAGCAAAGAAGCGACCTGTTAAGAATGCCCTGGGCATTGTGGGGCACTCTGGAAACTGGTAGACTGGGGGCTTCTTGCCAGCACCCTCCTCTATGAAAAGTTGCACCCCCAGCTGCTTTCACTCACGCCATGGTAACCAACCCCTCTCTCCGCAGCATCCTGTGATGGCCCTGGCAAGTCAGAAGGCAGAGCCAACATCCACATTTCCAAAATCACAGTAAAGACCAGGCTCCTACACAGGAATTTCTGGGGAGTGAGAGTTTTTGTACATGTGGACCACACTTTTTTTTTTAAATATAAAGGAGTACAGTATAGTCATGCAATGAATGTGCTGAAGGGAAGTTAATGAACAATTTGAATGGAAACATTGATTGGTAAAATGATTTTGTTATAATATACTTAACATTTATACAGGAATAAAGGTTTCTGGGATCATGGTGGGCAGCATGGCCATTCCATGTGCCCCTGCTTCTTCAGCTGCCTCTGCCTGTTGCTGCTCTATCTGCTTGGCAAGGCCAGCACCAGTGAATGCAGGCAGGGCTTCTGGCCAGGCTGCTCCTCATGGGTGGGAGGGTGCTGTTCCTCCGGCCCTGAATCGCTACCACCTGCCCTGCCCACTCCATCCAAAGCACAGAACATCTCCTGATCCACTTCTCTGCCTTCCTTCTCTAGAAGCACAGCATTGATTGTCATCCACTGTGAGCTCTGACATGGAATGAAAGTTGGACCTTTAATGTTGCTTTTCAAGTTGCTACACAAAAGAGCTACAGCTGGAGAGCTCCAGCTTCCACCAGCCATACTTGGAAAGCAGATGGGGAAGAGAGATGTAACCCTAGCAACAGGCCAGGCAACTCCACGCTCTCTAGTCACCTTCTCCATTGCTCCCTTTCCTGAGCCCCACTGCCTAGGCCAGAAGGAACTGGACCCAAAACCTCATAAAGGAAATGCAGGCTGAAGAATGTTAAGACTGCCATGCCCTTCCTTAGTGGTCGGCTGCATGGCTCTGGGGCATGAGCATTGGAGGAGTGTCAGTCATTGATATAGAGGGACTTGGAATGTTGAGAGGGTGGGAAAAGAACGTCTGTAGTACAGAAAGCACTGGCCCAAACCCTCCTCTCCTACCCCCTTGCCACTGAGCTTTGGTGGGGGGGGAGGGGGCGGGCTGAGTATCTCACAGTCTCCTAGGGGATGCACAATACTTCTCTATCTTCAGAAAGAGTTGGTGTGAATTCAGTTCTGATGAACATGCCAGATTAACAGCCTTGGAGACAGAACAAATTCAGCTCAGAGCAGCGTCCATCGCTGTCCCCTGCCTCACTCCCAGCATAGGGATGGACTCCAAAACTGAAAGAGGAGTCCTGCTTCCATGGCTCCTTTGCTGAGATTGCCAATGAAATCTAGAGCAGTGTTTCTCAACCAGTGGTATGAGTAGCCTTGGGGTACTTGAGAGAAGTCTGGGGTGGGGGGGTGGGGGGGGGTGGTACATCAACACAACTGAAATTTGTTTTAAGTTTTACAGCATTTTATTATTTTTGTACTTTTTACACCCAAAAATGTCATCACCCGCCCAGCTATGATTAAGTTGTTTAAACAAATGTGTTGCAATGGTAGAAAAAAAATGTGTGTCTAAAAAAAAAATTGTAAGTACCTACAGTTTTCAGAGGGGTACTTATGTAAAAAAGGGTGAGAAACACTGACTTGACCCATCTCCACTGGCTGATATTCACACTCCCCAACTACTATTATACAGGCCTGTTAACAGCCATCAGATGGAACCTGGAGGGCTGGGCCTGGCAGCCAACCCAATTTTGGTGCTTGCAAATGAGTGCACCCCCTCCCCCATACATCAGCTTCTTACACAAACACCTCCATGTCTTCATCAGCATGGCCCCTTACACATGGAAAGGTCTGTTACTATTTGATCTGAGGAAGTGGGTCTGGCCTACGAAAGCTCATCATCTAATAAACCATCTTGTTAGTCTTTAAAGTGCTACATAGTCCTGTATTTTGTTTCTGCTACTACTTTGGCCTTTAAAATCCTCTGCTTTACTGCTGCACTTCAAAGAAGTCACCCTGTCATTAACCCTCTAACTGCCTGACCATATTCTCATCCATGTCTTCCCTCCTCTGTAGTATTTTTAATTAGACTGTAAGCTCTTTGGGGCAGGGACCATGGGTTTGTTCCCCATACGGTCTTGGCAGCTACTACCACTGATAGCAAAGGATTGCATGTACTTTTGCCCAGGGTGAGGGGGGAAAAAATCAGTCCTAGGAGTTAGAACTTGAGCAAAGTTAGAAACAGATATACTGGATAGAAGTCAGTGTAGCAACTAGCTAGAATGCTGCAGTGCCATATTTACAGGGAAAATTAAAGAGAGTGGGGTCCACCCCTACCCTCCCCCAAAAAAGTGTCAGTTTCAGTTAAAGCCAGAATGGAGAGCAGACCTTGTAGTGCATGAAGGTATGGCCGAGAGATAAGGCAATAAATAAGAAACAGGTATTTAGTTTAAGGGGGTAGGAAGCATGTCCCTAAATCCCAGAGATCTTAACCTACCTTGCGATGACCATGAGTTCCGCTGAAGAGGGTAACACTGTACAAATAACTCATTTTAAATAGCTATATCAGTAGGGAGTAAACCTGCTCAAGTATATTGTATCCAAAGGGGCAAACTGCAACTGACCAAAGCTTTTTAAGCATAAGATCACTGACCAACTTTTTAAGCATAAGATCACTTTCTGAATTTAAGTGCAATCCAGGATCTACCTCAAACCCAAACACCCTTGCCCTGCCTCCTTCCTGCTCCTTCTCCTTCTGAGGCCCCACCCCTGCTCACTCTATCCTCCCTCCCCCATTCTCACTAGCTTTTATCAGACTAGGGGCAGAGGCTTGGGGTGCAGTAGGGGTTCAGGACTGGGGCTGGGGTTTGGAATGTGAGCTCCAGCTGGGCACCACTTACCACACATGGCTTCTGGGTGGTGGTGCAAGGGCCTACGGCCAGCTCAACCCTACCATAACCCTACACCACTACCGAAAGCCAGCCAGCAAACTCTCTCCATCCCTGACTCCCTTTGCCCTGTGGAGATGGGCTACAGGGTGAAGAGAGAGAGAGGCACCCTGACATCACCCTCTCCTCTTCTTCCTGTGCACTGCACAGCAAGCAGGAGACTCCCAGTGGGGCTGAGAGGCACCTCCAAGGCAGAGGGCAGGAGCAGCACAGCAGTGCTGAGAGGCAGATGAAGTGCCAGCACCTGACAGCCTCCCAATGAAACCTCTCAGGATCACCTATCAAAGGTTCCAAGATCTACAGGTTTGGTGACCACTGGACCAAAACAATGAAAGAATACATTTGTACAAGGAAGAAATGGTGAGGCACTAAACTTGACACATAAGGGCAGTGATCTGCAAGGTGAAGTTGGGAAATACTGCAAAATGATCTGATGCTAGTGCAAGGCATTCCTTCATACAAACGGGCTTAGACTGGGGGCTATATTTATGGAAATGGGAAGCAATCCAGGAAGCATGGGATAGCAATGATGCCATCACATTGCCAGATGGTTTAGTCCAATGCAGAGCCTTGGCAGAATACCCATAGGAGTGTGAAAAGAGCATGGTCATGTCAGAGCCTGTCAGACAGGTACACTATTTCTGGGAGTCCTGATAAAGAATCACTAAAAAGCTCCGATGAATACTGCTGATTCTAAATAGCAAGAATTAGAATAGCTACAAATCTTTAACTCTACTGTAGTGACCCACTTAAACAGCACCTGCAATGGGCAATCATTTCAATCGTCAAAAAAAATCTTGAAAAAGCCATTTTTATTAGCGCACACAGTATCCAGACATCTAGAAGAAATCTGCAAATTCCAACATTAACTCAAACCTCTCGTCAATCAATCATCAGCACCACTCCTCACACCCCTGTTCGCATTTTTCTCTCATACAGGTAGAACCTTTGGGTAAAGAAGAGCATAGAAACAAATGAAAGAAATCCAATTAAAAGGATGGCACCTTTTTGGAGATTAGCAATTCTTTGTTCATTTGATTTAGCAAAAGTGATATCAAAATAGGTTGTGCTTTAAAATAAAAAAAATACTAAAATATAAAAACATAAATATTTTAAAAATCAGAGTGCTAATAATTGATTTATCACAGCTGTTTCAACAGATGTTAGTGAAGCATAGAGAATTTGAGGTCGACATAGAAATGTTCATTTTACACTGTAGTGTCAGACAGGCTGCTAAACATATGAGGCTGCCACTGGGAGCCTCATGGAAAAATTCAACACAAAGGTGTCCCACTGATAAGACCTAATGAGGTCATGAGGAAAGGTGAATACCAACATAAAGGAGGGTTGTCAGAATCAAGAACCATTTCTACTGACCAACACTCCATAAAACAGCCCTACTGGGTCAGACCAGTGGTTCATCTAGCCCAGTATTCTGTCCTCTGACAGAGGCCAATGTCAGATGCTGCAGAAGGGAGTGAGCAATCTATTGAGTGATCCATCCCTTCTTGTCCAGTCCCAAGCTTAGGGCAGAGGTTTAGTGACACTTCTGCTTCCCTGATCATTTCAGCCAACAGCCATTGATGGATCAATTCTACATGAATGTATCCAGATATTTTTGGAACCTAATTATATTTTTGGCCATACCATCCCGACAATGAATTCCACAGGTTGACTGAGCAATGTGTGAAGTACTTCCCTGTTCACATTCTCCATACCATTCTTGATTTCATAGGCCTCTATCATATTGCTCCTTAGTCTCTTTTCCAAGCTGAGCAGGTTTTTTTTTTAAAATTTCTCCTCATATAGAAGCTGTTCCATACCCCTAAATCACTGTTGTTGCCCTTCTCTATGCTTTTCCCAATTCAAATATGTCTTTTTAAAAATGGGGCAGCCACAACTGCATACAGGATTCAAGATATGGGTTTATATAATGGCACTGAGATATTTTCTTATCCATTTCTAATGTTTCTTAGAATTGTTAGTTTTTGACAGCTGCTGCACATTAAGCAGATGTTTGCAAACTATCCATGATGAGACCAAGATCTATTTATAGAATGAGAATAGCTACTTCACACCAAATCATTTTGTATGTTGATGATGTTCATATGGGATGATCTTTTCAAATGTGTATTACTTTGCATGTATCATTGAATTTCAGCTGTCATTTGGCTGCCTGGTCACCCAGTTTTGAGAGATCTCTTTGTAATGCTAAATAGTCAACTTCGGATGTAACTATCTTGAATAATATGTTATGTTGTCTCTGTTCACTTTTCTTTCCCAGATCATTCTGAATGTTGTATGGCACTACTCCCATTACAGATCACTGGGGGTCCTCACTGTTTACTTCTCTCTACTGTGAAAACTGTTTATTTCTACCTTTTGTTTCCTAGCTTATCCCATGGTTCCAGATGAACACATTATCCAGACATCTACATTAAGTTCCAAGGCAAGTGGAAGTGACTAGTGTTTCTGCAACATTTTCCCTCCTTGGCCAAGTCTTCCCTTCTAACACACCTCTGTGTTGAGGTTAGGCCACCATAACGTGACTGAGAAGAAAAAGGCAAAGAGCCCAATTCCTCCTTGATATAACTCCCTGATGTGCAAGAGTTGCATCAAAGAGAAATATGACCCCCTATATTTTGCATGCAAGCATTACACAAACTATGGACGATAGCAAGGGGAACGCAATCTCCAGAGAAGACATTTAGCCTAGCCTTAGATAACCTCCATAACATGAGGAAGGAGTGTGTGTGTGCACGCACATGCATGCAAGGCAACAGGACTAAAGTTAGCCTAAGACGTATAACTCCTGCTAGGGAATATGCAAAATTGGTCTGTTAAGATTTGCTTAGTAGCATTTTGTGGGATTCAAAGGAACTCAGTGCATTTCATACACCTTAAAATCAGGAGTGGGGAACCATTTTTGGGCCAGAGACCCACAGAAAAATGAGTCAGAAGCTGCACACAAGTGAGAAGCAAACAACAACAACAATAAAAACTTCACTGGGGCAGCCTCTAACTAAGGAGAAAGACACTTCTCACATTCCCATCCCAGTGGGGCCAGGGCTAGTAGATTTTGTATGCTCCAGCTGCAGGGGATCTGGAGCACCAGCGCAGGATCCCCAGTGCTAGGGGCAGTCCAGGGCCTCGGGGGTCAGATCCAAGCAAGCCCTGGGCCTTAGGTTCCCCACCCCTGTTCTAGTCAAGCCTTTTCCCCATTTATCTATTTTGATTAGAGCATTAATCAAAACTGCTTTAATTTCTCTTACATGAATTCTATTTTACGGGTCAAATCCTGATCACTGAAATAAAGAGGCGTTCTACTACTGATTTCAATGAATGCGTGTAGCTAAACGTTGGGGTCTACATTGCTAGAGGAAGGTGTGATTGTAGCTTTAACCAGCATAGGCAGCACCGATAGGCTATGTCTACACTGCAATACTATTTCGGGATACTGGAGTATCCTGAAATAGCTATTCCGTGTCTTAACAGCAAGCCCCTTATTTTGCATTTGGTACTCCGATGTTCCTGTAAACCTAATTTCATGAGGAGTAAGAGACATTTTGGAATAGCTGGTTATTTTGAAATAAAATCGAAATAAGATACATAATTTGCATAGCTCGTATTGTGTATCTTATTTCGAACTACAGCGAAGTGTAGACATAGTCATAATGTGGATAAGGCAGCCTGGGCTAGCAGTTAAGATACTCTGGTTGCAAGTGAGAGGGCAAGAATTCCTTCCTTAGCAGGAAGCCTCCTGAAAGCACAACTGTTCATTCTCCATGCCTTTTATAGTGCATCTGATAGCACAGGGGGCCTTCTCTTCCACTATTTCTTGCACTGTTCATAAAAAAAAGGAGGGGGGTGGATTCCATGTTAGCTCCCAGATACACATTAGCTTCTAGTAAATCAGTCATGCTGGGGATGAGTTTACCTATCCTTTCAGTTTAGCTGAAGCTATCACACAAGAACTGTTCAGCAGAGATACACATGCCCCATAATCTTTCACCAGACCACACCAAACTGCCTTGAACAAAAACCTTTCAGACCAGCTTCTGATCTTGGTTAGCACTTGGATCCCAGTTTCTCTTCACTTGCTCAAAATTGTTGCTGCAACTGATTTAAAGACACTTGGAGCTTTTGCTAAGACTTCCCTCCTTCCATCTAAAAAAAATGAAATAAAGCCCAAATTTGATGTCTATCCTCAGCCAGATAGAATTAGGCTCTGAATTAGGATTGGGAAAAGTAACTAATGTTAATTGTGTAGCAATTAGGTGGTGAATGACAAAATAAGAGATCATTTTCCTTTTTGGGACAGATAAAAAGTGAACCGTTTCTGGAGCTTGGAAGCTGCAGCACAAGTGATCTAGGGATAGAGATTTCCCTGCTTTCAATGCAATTCTTGTTTGAGAACAGGCCTACATCTTTGTTCATTGGCTAAGACTTGAAAATAATTTCTGCTCCTCCTTTCTGGTGTTACTTACTGTTACTTCAATAAGAAGCAGACAAGTCTGAAGTATTTGTTGGAGAGTAAACATTAGTCTGATCGTTTCAACTGAATTTTAAAAAACCTTCTTACATATTAAAATACAAGATTATTAAGGCTTTGTTAATTCAGAATTACTTTCTGAACAGAGATGAGAAAAGTCTGGCTGAAAACAGCAGACCTTTCTACAGCTCTCTGCCTAAGAAAAATAGGGAAAAAAAAGACCACAAAAGAGTCTCATAATAATATTTAGCACTTAGAGGTCTTCAACTCTAAAGTGCATCTCAAATATTCATCTTCACAACGCCCCTGCGAGGCAGTAAGTATTAATTTTATCCCTATTTTACATGAAGGGAAACTGAGGCAGAGTGGCTAAGTGACTTGCCCAAAGCCACAGAAAGAGTATGTTTGAGCTGGGATCAGAAGGCAGAAATTCCTAGCTCTCACACACTCTCTCTCTCTCTCTCTCTCTCCAAGTCCCTCTTCCCCAGTGCAAGTTTTAATAGATACCTGAATCCAACAGAGAAAGGGGCTAGCAGTGCCACATGCTTCTGGCAAATAGCAGGACTCCCAGAATTACTCCATATACTCTCAGAAAAGTATCATTAAATAACTGATCTTCTTGGAATTAAAGCCAAGATGACTGCACATGTTGTGAAGAAGCCAATGTACAATACAAGCCTAGCTTAATAAATAAAGAAAAGACATGCAGCTGTTATCACCAGTGTGTGGCAGAGTCCTCAGCTCATAAAGGTCCCAGATCCCCAAGGATGCAGCCACATCACTCCTGCGACTCTACTGCCACACCAACATGTGCGTGTCTGATAGTACGACCATGGAGTTTATACCCGTCCTGAGTCACTAGTGCCACTGTGCCCGGCTGCATTCCTTCTGCTGGCACATGGCAGACTATTTCATGGTCGTAAGGATCATATTTGCCACCAATTGGGTTCATCTTCTGAAGGCCGTGCTTGGCAAATACACTTTGCATTTTAGCCTCTATGAGAGAGAGGCCTTCACAGATCTTCTTGAGGGTTGGTTTCGGGTCACTAGGCTCTGCTTCTCTTGTAGTGCTCTCAGTTGTCTTCTCCAAGATATCTGCCACTTCCACCAGATCCTTGCAAAAACTCTGGATTCCTGCAGCCATATACACAAATAGACAGGTGTTAAGCAATGTCAGTTCAGTGACTGATTGTGCAAGGCTACAGTTTCAGTCCTGGTCATACTGTCATATCATTTGAAGGATCTGATCCTGACAAACTAATTAGTGCCTTCAGCCCCCAGTTCAAGGGTTACTCAGGGAATTCAATGTCTCCTATGACTGAGACCTCAGCATTTCACAGAGAGTTAAGAGTGCACTAAAGATTCCCAGACACCATAGGGAAGGATGACAGTGCTATACAATATACACATGTTCGACAAATTAGAGCTATTCACAGAGTCTCATTACTTTGTTTCATGATGTTCCTGTAACCTGGGAAATTAGAACATTCAGGTGAGCCCTGGTAACAAATGTGGTCTAGAATCCAAAGCCTGTTTGCCATTTAGGAAACTTAGGGTACGTCTAGACTACAGGGTTTTGTCGACAGAAGTTTTGTCGACAGATACTGTCGACAAAGCTTCTGTCGACAAAGAGCGTCTAGACTACATTCAGTTCTGTCGACAAAGCAAGCTGCTTTGTCGACAAAACCCTGTAGTCTAGACACAACCCTAGCTTTTGGAAGAGAAAAAGAAAGAATAGGGTGGTCAAATTTCCCTCTGCTGAACTCGGGACACATGGTAAAATTACTCATATTCAAGTGAGTTCAACAGCAATCAGTCTAACCCAATATAAACTCTAGCAGCCTTCAGATAAGCATTAACTAAATGAGGAAAAAAAGGACCCTTCCAGGACTGGGATGAGCTACAGAGATTTTTTAGGTTTGAATCAGTCACACCAGTAATATTTTAGAGCACCTGATAAGATTGCTTGGCAGGCTATGTAATATGAGGTGATGGATTCAGCCTAGTTCCAAGCTGATAGGTGCCCATATCATCTAAAACCACAACTAGTATTTTTGATGGCAGTGTAAGCAGAGATGCCCAAGACTGGGTTCATCAGGGGGATTGAACTATCCTCCCACCGCTATCGGTGGCCCCGCCCACAGAAGTACATTGATAGTGCAGAGTGTGGAATGCTCACTCTGCTGCTCTTCATGCTGCATATGCTCTTTGGCTAATCAAGGACATCAGTCTCCAGGGCTATAAATCCAGTCCATTTCACCAATACAGAATTTACTAAAAATATTTTAGGATGAATACATTAATTGTGAAAGTGAGGGCCACTAACCCAGCTCACACTAAATCCATTAGTTTCATATCAGAGAAGAAAGGAAAAACACGTCTTGGTACTACAAAAATGATCATAGCTTGATGACACTGCACAGAGCACAGAATAAACTCTAAATACTATTTCTCAGCTGATGTAAATCATAACTTCAAGGACATCAGTGAAGCTATGCTGATTTACACCAGCTCAGAGCTGAGGGCAAGCATTTAACAAATACATTACCAAAATCCAGAGTGGCACTGGTTATTAGTATAAACACCATTATAAAATGGACCCTGGCAAAAAGAAACAAGCACTAGTGCTATCTCCAAGATAAGCCTACAGGATTTGGCTGAACATGCAGACACAGGAACTAGCTAGCTTAGCCTGTCAGGCCAATCACCACAACAGGATTTAGAAAAAACAGTGGCTTATTTGTACTTTCTGCAGTCTGCTTGGCCAAGCAAGCCACACGCAGAAAATAGCCCCTGCACAATGCAAGCAGCACTTCACTTACCAAACAGCTTGGCATCTTCCACGAACTTCTGTGTTCTCCTCCGGACATTTTCAGAATCCGCCACGGCTTTCCGATATCGTTCCTACACACACAGCAACAGGAGAGGCATTATAAAGGGCGAGTGACCCATTGCAAGAGCCACACCTCTTGCATCCTTCTACACAGTCTATTCCAAGAGCCACGCCCTGTGAAAGCTGTGATGCTGTATGGAACTTGGGGATGAATGTCAAGACTATAAAATGGCAATGAGCTTTACAATGGCATATCTGGCATGAGATCTGCAAAATTATTATAATCTGTCAAATGTGATAATCTCACGTATGTGTTTGTATCACCTTTGTATTTTGGTTATGGATTACGTATGTATTCCATATTACAAAGCTTGTGCTATGCTTCTGGGTGACACCATAGTTCCCTCTAAGGTTCTGCATAGCCACACACAAAAATTCTATGCCCACCCACCCCCTTCGCAGAGCCACATAGCAGTACTCACTTTCATGCTGGAAGGTGAGTGGCATGGTGGGCTCCAGCTCCAGCAGCTGCCATGTGGCCTGGTTGGCAGGGCTGCATGATGGGCGGCTGACCCAGGGCCACAGTGAGGCTGTCTCTACTGGGGCAGCCTCACTGCGACAGCAGTTCCAGCTCTGTGATTATCCCAGTGGGGACATCAACACCATGGCTCTGGCCACAGGAGCAGCCACACCACCACCACCACCACAACCCAGGTGCCCCACACTGTGCCATGAGTCCCAGGATTTGGCTGCCCAGCTGAGTGTGGTGGGGTTTGGCTGCTAGCTGCCAAATCTCACATGGTGGGGTCCAGGTCTGGCTGTAGGTTCTACACTGCAGGATACTGGCTGCCCAACCCTAAATAGTGGAGTGAGAGCTGCGAACCCATCCTTACTGGGTAGGTTATTGTATGCCAGCAACTGCTGAAGCGAGCTTTACTATCATGGCTGCCACCCCTGCCTTCTCCTGGGATCCCACAATCTATTGCAACATTACTGGGCCTTTGTCATCCCAATCCTGAGACATAACCTGACCAGACAGAGGCAGTGAGAGGGACCCAAATTACATCATATCTCCACCTCCTCTTGCTAAATCACAGCCACCCCCTTGGGATATGACATTGTCACATATCACCAGACGAACCCCACATGTCCTTTTCCTTTCCAACCTTAGTTCTTCTCCTTCCTACCCCTCTCCTTTTTCCTTCTAATAAGAGTCTAGTTTACCTGGCCAAGACTATTTTGCAACGATGCTGTAAACCAGAGAGCAGATTAACTATCTCTTTTCCCTAAAGAAGGACAGTTATTAGGATATTTAATAACATATAAGAAACTGCCAGACAGGATATTTTCCCTACTAAAGACTTTATGGCAAAAGGGAAAGGGAATAAGACAAGTTGTTAAAGTGAAAGCCTCGTATAATACTTTACCTGTTTTCCTTTCTTTTCGGTATCTGTAACAAACAATTATTAATCACGTGTTTGCCATGATACCAAGCAGGCAGAGGTCTGTTAAACACTGGATGATGACAGGGTCACATCATCATCTTTGACTCTTTGGGCCCTTTAATTCTACTCAAATTAGTAAATGGGGGAAGGTTTACAGTACAAAAGTAACTCATTGCATTGAGGTGGAAGTATGAGGGCGTTCCAGTTAAGATGATGCAGCATAAATGATGCAACCATCTTTCAAATGTGGGGAGTCATAGGGAGGTGGCCAAGTCTAGAAATGCACAAGGAATGGGTGAGCCAGGCAGTGACTACAAGTTCACAGAAATAGGGATGCGTGATTCTGTTCTAAAAAAAGACGGAAGAGGGATCATCTGATAAGATCTAGGAACTGAAAGATGTAAAGGCAAGAGTAGAGGAAATAGAACTCTGCTATGTAAAGTAAGGTAACTTGGCCATAAAATTTAGAGCATTTAGAGAACAGGATTTCAGAACAGATGCTGATTTCCAAAAGCATAGAGAGACATCTCCTCAGTGAAAAACAGCAGCAATCAACACCTGATGTTATGGAAGAGGACAAAATGTTTTGCTAACTGGGCATTGCTGTTAAGCAATGACTAACTCGTAGCTACTTTGCACCAAGAGATGGGTGTCTTTCTGTGTTGGTGTGAGCATCTTGTGGAAATGGTGAAAAGCTTTGTGATGTAAGACATCTAAATGTATTCAGAGTGGCTTAACAGTGAAATAAATGTGCTTTCCCACTTTGAAGGGACTGAGCCCTGAGGACAGGGGGATACTTTGGCTAAGAAGCTGCTAATGGTAAACTCACAGTTAAATCACGAACTTGTTCTTCCAATTTGCTGGCTTTGAGCTCTAGAGCTCGCTCAGAAAGGGGATGCCTCGGCTCATCGCAGGGATCCTCTGGGCCACACTCATCTCCTGTGCTTCTCTGCTGGGCAGCAGTGCTGAAGACACACAGGCAATCTCTGAAATACAAGCCAAAGGCAAAGAAGAAAGAGGAACATGACCCAGAGCTCAGAAGAATGTTGCTTTATACCCATAAATATTAAAAGCACATTCTCTTTAGAGACACCTTGGTAGGATCTTAACCCGTGCACTTTAATCCTTAGATAATAGGATAACTGGCACCACTCAGCCATTCAGTTATTTGAGATATGTAAACCAAGCTCAAATGTAGAGAGCTGAATCTGCTCTGCAGGAAAGATAGCAGATATAGCCCAGATGGTCAACAAACCACATAACCATACAACTTGGCATGTTAAATGCATTGGTGTATCTAGGTGATAATTCTTTCCCTGACTTCATACCTAATGTTTGAGAGGAAGATGGCACACCCTCCTTTATGCATCTAGCCAAAGG